CCTGCTGAATTTTGGAAAGTTCCTGGTCGTGTAATTGGCCATTCTCCAGGGATTTGATTAGAATTACATTAAATTACATTAAATTCATAGGTTCCACTCTGGGAGATGTGTATTCTGTGTAGGTGAGTTGTTTGCATTCCCAAAACATTGTTTTTTACCTTTATTTTGGTTGGTGAATTGGCTTGGACATTTGACTTGGGGGTAATGAGGACAATTTAAAGGTTTAGGTGATTTCTATTTAGGAGCAAAATGGAGAGCCAAAACAGACAAACCAAGTAAAACCAACAACAGGGTTTTCAGGGTTCTTTTGTAAGTAGCAGGCCAAACTTGTCTAAGCAAAAAAGGGTGTCTTGTAATATAAAAGCTGGAAAGTCCCAGGAAGACTTGACTCTGGGCATGCCCTTGACTCCAGGACTCAAGCCCTTTTATATGAGTATATCTCTTGCCTCTGGGGTTGGTTCCAGTCTCAGACAGGCTCTCCCTCATGGCCACAAGATGGCTGCCAGTGCCTCCTCCTATTGTTATCTTTCCAGCAGAAAGAGTCGTGTCCCAGAGTTCTCAGCAGATGTTCTGGGAATGTGAGAGTCTGTCGTGTACCCTCCCCTGTTGTCATGTCTGAGCCGAGAAGGGAAGGGTTGGTCTCTTCAAAGCACTGGTTTGAGTGTGGGCCTAGACCATCAGAATCAGCGTCACCTGAAAACTTGCTGGAGATGCAGATTCTTGGACCTCACCCAGACCTACTGAATTAGGCCCTCCAGGGGCGGGCTTAGCGAGGTGTGGTTTAACAGACCCTCCAGGTGGTTCTAATTCAACTTAAATTTGAGAACCACCATTTTAAACAGCAAGATGGAGGATCGTGGCCGCTACTTTAAGATGGAGGATCGTGGCCACTGGGAGATCACTCCAGCAGGTTAACGCTGAAAATAATGACAAGGTAGGTGTTTGAATTGGAAAAACAGTGACTGGGATTAAAGAAGCACTTGTATCAAATTCTTCCTTTAGGGAATATGTAATTCAAAATTACTATTGCCATCTTTTTGAATGAGGAAGTAATGTCATTGCATGAAACTCTTTCATTTAAATGTTATCTACTTTGATTAAAAGGATTTGTGCTAT